GAAACGAGTCTTACCAAGTCACTGCATTCCTGCCTGTTAAAAAAAAGATACAAAAAAGCAGACTAGATTCTCTTGCTTCCTGTAAATTGGCATAAATAGTGGAAAAGCTCAGGAAAAAAGATATGCAGGGACATTTTGTACTGTAGCCTCTCTCAAGAACTGACAAGAGTTCACTTAGCTGAAATGATCTTTGATAATGTTTTAATCCAAATCACAGGAAAGGCAACTAGTCTGGTTGACATTATTTGCTAGAAATAACTTTTAAACCTAACAGTGAATGTTATTTTGAGGTACTTAACTCAGGGAATTATAAAAATGAGAGAGAGGGGGGAAAGTGATTAACTGCAACTATCTTTTTTTATGAAAATCCTCTCATTACTAATTAAGGAGCATTAGCAAATTAGAGCTAAGAGGTGACATTCAAACAACCAAAGGTCAAATGACTTCTTTAAGTCTCCTTTGATTTTCTTGTACAGGAGGGCTGAAGGGGGCCAATTCCACTTTAATGATATATTCTCCCTGTAGTGCCAATAAAACTTACTAAAGCAGGTAGCTGCCAGTCAATCCGTTTTAGAAAATTCACTGCACAAATGAACATTCTTCTCCAGAAGCCTTTTGATTATAGAAATGTTGCACAGGAAAAAAATGCAGTCAAGAGTTAAATGGATTGGTATGATCCCACCTAATTTTGCTTCCTCAGTAATCTGAATTTTTATAGGTGGTTAAAGCCGGAGAGCCATGGAAGGCTGTTATTTATACTATATGGCATTCATTTTTAAAAGGATTCAGGAAATAAGATAGCAGAAGGGGGGGGGGAGCACTTTAAGTTCAGAAGCGAGATGTACATGTGATTTTAATCGCATTATTTAAAATACTAGCAAGTTATTTGCAGTTATACATTTTCACGTACTATGCAACTGATTTTCTGCACAAAATTATTGGTGCTTTTAGTTTACAATAGTGAGTAACTAGGAGTCTTCTATTTACTTTGATTAAAAACAGAGACTCTAGAATTGTTAAAGAATCCTTCAGACACTTACCTCAGCTGCTGAAACAAAGGAGTCTGTTGATGCAATGCTCAATGTATCTCGCAGGCAGAAATCATCGGTATTATCCTTCACAGTGATGTCTGTATCTTTATCTTAAAAATGAAAAGACTGTTTACTAGTTTGCCATTTTCTTTGACTGTCTAAATCTCCAATTTAGCGGTTAATTTTGAACGTAAGTGGATTTTTTTTAGAAAGCCTTCCTTTAACTGTGCAGCAAGATCTTAGATACAGTATTTTTGCATATAAAAGTGGTTAACCAACTTATGATACAGCAAATTCATTGACAACTTCATACTTATTAGAGTACTTGTTTTGGTGAGACACCTAGAATGCTACATACAATCATGCGTAAAAAAACTACTGTATCCTACTTTAATTCCTCAACATGTGTTTGCTAAACTATCTTGCTTCTCCTGAGAAGGTGGCCTTATAAGTGCTTCAACTACTTTTACAACATAAGAAAGTTTAATTGGAAAAAATAAGGCAAAATTTCTCTATGGGTTTCGTCTCTTCCCTGACTCCATCAAAGAAATCTACTACATTGCTAGATTAATTTAAATCCTCAGCTAAGACTTAATAAGCCTTTCAGTAGTAAATATAGTAACCAGAAAATATTACTTATTTTACCCAAAACAAAATTAGAAGCTGATTTTAAAGAAAAAAATCTTAATTGGGTTAATCTGTTAGTTTCTAACTGTCAAATCCTTCCAAGAAATAGTCAATAAATTTTATTGCAGGTTTTTTATTTCTACTAATATATATATTTTTCATATACAATTGATATTCAGTGATATCCTAGTAGCTGCATTTATAAGAAAAACAGACTGGAATTCTTGCTAAACAGGGACATTCAATATATTTATTTCTGTATATGCATGTGTACCCCCCCATCCACTTTTTGTATTTCATTCAGATGGATCAATCATCAAATTAAATTTAGGTTCTTTTTCCAACCAAAGTTGTTGTTTTACTTTAGATTTACCTTTTCAGCAATCAAAACATCCCTTCTCCTCCATTCCCCCAAAATGCCTAGAAAATACTTCTATTGGCATGTAAGTTTGGTTGAAAATCCTAATTTTGTGCCTAAATCACCCTTATTTAAATCTACAATAGATTCTCTCAATTTTCATTTACTTTCTTTCAGATTTGAAGTCACTACACATACCACTAGTGCCTATGGTTTTATTTTCATCATACAGAAGCACTTTCACAGAAGGATTAAATTCATAAGTTGTTAAGTCAGACCTTGGCTTGATGTGCCTCATGCAACACTCTCACTGGAGCACAAGCATTTATCTCGAGTTACTTTACCTTCAGGCATTACACATGTACTGTTAAAAGTCTGTTTCACTTCCAACAGTCAGCAGCAACCAACTTCTCAATGTCATCCAGATCAGTTACTATGGCAATTCTTTATTAAAAAAAAAAACACTATTACATACCAATATGGCTAGATGCCAGCTTTATTGGAACAGTTTACTCATCAGCTGAAATGCTCCAATCCACATAACTCTTATTTCAGTGGTTATGGTTCTATTAGTTATAGCTTTAGAATAGCAGCTTAAAACTCATGCAGAATATGTATCTGTGTTTGAGAAGGCCCTATGAGGAAAATACTAAAATTCTGGACAAACATTTTGCTAGATATTTCTTATGCTGCATTCAATTTTAGTTAGACTGAGTGCAATTTTTAAACGCAATTTCATTGATACACATTCTAATTCTCATGTTAAATACTTTAATTTTATGGCCTCTTCTCTCCCTGCTAACCTACTTTTTCTTTGATGGAAACAAAATTATTGCAACATTCTAGATGGATTGTTCAGGCATAAAAAACCCCCATATCCTGTACTAGAATTTGTAGAACAGGGGATAGCAAAAGTTCCCAAAGTGTGGTCCACAGAGTACTTGCTGGAAGTCTGAAGACAGCAAGCTTTGTAATATGCTGCTGCCTCCTCCTTATTTCTAGCTCATAATATGCATTAATTCCCACCTACAGTTGCATTAAACGTATTATACTATTACTTTTCTACATAAACAATTGCTGCAGCTGTAACAGCTCTGTAAAAGGGAGCTGCAAATAGATAAAGTCTGGCTGCAGAATTTTCCATTCAATCTAGCCTTACTGCAGAATTGTTTTCCAAGCTAAACTTTCCATTAAAAACAAAGTTTTTCCTCTCTTGTTATTGCGAAAGAAAACCCTAAAACATGAACTGAGAGTAAGCCAAAATTGCCTTGTGTTTCTGATATACCCAGGTCTTCAGACAGTCTGTAAAAGCTGCATAGAGAATCTGAACTGCCACATTCATGTCTGTGATGTGAATTCAGTGACCTATCGATGACAGTGCAAGTGTCAACATTGTTAACCATTTCATTACATACTGAATATTTTAGCGGGAACATCAAGATGGGCCTAATTCTCATGTACACAAAGTCCACTGTGGAGTCATTTTATTGTAACTGACACTCAGGCATACTGTGTTTATCTCACAAGAAAAATGCCTCCAGTATCTTCTCATGTAAAAAGTCCCAATAGCACTATTACCCTCCTCACAATCTCTAGCTATTCCTTGACAACAGCTATATAGTAATGTGTATTTAAAACAAAAATCTACAGCCCATTGAAAACTAAAAATAAATAAATAAATAAAAATCTTAATTTGACATAATGTATATTTTTTCTCACATAGGGAGGAGTGACAGGGGCTACTAAATCAATTAAGTAAGAGGAATAATGTAATTTAAACTATTTTTAATGAAAATGGAGCAGCATCATAATTTCCAGTTTGTTGCATCATGGTGCCACAGAACAGATACAGAACTGACACAGAATTTAGTTCTAGCTTGCTACAAAAGTTCATGGAGCCTTGGTTATGCGGTTCTGAAAGAGAGGAAAAAAAAACAAACTAGCCTATACCATTGACAATCAGAGGTGTCACAAAAAATCCCTGTATTAATGTGAAGTTCACATTATAGAAAAGTTTCAGAACCACCACAACAGAAGAAAAGCATTCTAGGACTCGAGATGAAGGTAGAAATGAAAAGTTTGGTCATTCTGGAATATTTGTGCTCCTACACTTTGAATAGAACATGTTACAATAATTTTAAGTTTTTAAATTAAACCAATAATTGGCGACACGTAGGGGACGTAGGATTCAGCCATGCATCCCCTGGAAGCGCCAGCAGCGAAACTGGAAGTACTGGTAGAAGTGTACTTCTGGTTTCACCACTGGCTCAGTGATTGGCTGCTGGGGGACCCCCCCAGACTTGGGAGGCACCAGTCACCCATGAAACCAATACATTTTGCCAACTTGTTGATATTTGGACACTGGGGGTAACCTTTTCAAGAGGAAAAAAAAACCTAAACAAATTTTAGCACTGATGCAGTTTTTTCTAAAAAACTGATCCTTGAGCAGATGACTTCTACCAGACATAGCACCTGAAATACCACAGCCATTTCAGTTTTTCAGTATATTTTTATAGGACTCTTAGTTAGAGGTTTTATTAGCAGTTTACTAGTTTTATTAGCAATTTACATTTTTAAGGTTTCATAGATTGTAAGGCCGGAAGGGACCTTGGAAGCTCATCGGGGCCAGCCCCCTGCACCAAGCAGGAAAGACAACTGGGGTCAGGTGACCCCAGCCAGGTGACTGCCCAGTCTCCTCTTGAAGATCTCCAGGGTAGGTGACTGCATCACCACTGCAGGGAGCTGATTCCACAGTCTGGACACTCTGGCTGTGAAGAGGTTTTTCCTAATGTTGAGCCTGAATCGATCTTCCAGGAGTTCGTGGACATTACTCCTGGTTTTCCCCTCAGGTGCCCTGGTGAACAGTTGCTCACCGAGCCCTTGATGTACTCCCCTAGTGTAGCGGTAAGCTGCTACCAGATCCCCTCTCAGCCTTCTTTTCCTCAGGCTGAAGAGTCCCAGATCCCTCAGACTTTCCTCATATGGCTTGCCTTTTAGGACTATGATCATATTGGTGGCGCTTTTTTGGTCTCTCTCAAACTTGTCCATGTCCTCGTTAAAGTGTGGTGCCCAGAACTGGATGCAGTACTCCAGCTGCGGTCTCACCAGTGCTGAGTAGAGTGGAAGAATCACCTCCTTGGCTTTCTTGGAGATGCATCAATTGATGCATGCCAGAGTATTATTTGCCCTACTGGCTACAGCATTGCACTACCAGCTCATATTCATACTGTGGTCTATTATTACCCTTAGGTCCCCTTCATTTGTGGTGCTGGTCAGTTTGGTGCTGCCAAGCCTGGAGGTGTGTTGGGGGTTGCTCCTCCGGAGGTGCAGCACTTTACATTTCTCAATGTTGAACTTCAAGCAATGTTGGACTTCAATAGTAGTGACGCTATTTGATCTTTTCATTAAGAAATACTATTTCTGAATGCTAGATGATTTCCTTATTTAAAGATATGCCAACCAAGACCAAATATTGTTGTCTGTAGCAAATCTTGTTATGCGAGTTAAAAAAAAAAATCTTTATCCTGATTGACAGATAAAGCCAGTTTGATTCTCCCACACTAACCAGCTGGCATTGATATTGGTATTTAACAAGATCTCTTGCTAATTAAAGATCATACAGTTTCCAGCCTCCATTGCAAGTTAACGCAGTAAGATGTTGTAGCACTACTTTGTGCATGCTCTAAACTGTAGAATTTCCTGAAAGTTGTTAGATTGCACATTGGTAGGAAGGAACCAAAAGTAAGAGCATAAATCACCCTGCTCTCTGGTAATCCTTGACAAGCAGCTCAACGGCCTTACTGCTGAAACATCAATAAATTATTCATGTTAGATTAAATTAATGTACAGGAGATGTGGTATTTTAGCATCTAGATAAAACAGGACGGGCTGCTTTATAAATTCCTAAGCAAAACATATTCTTTCCCCCTAACCAAAAGGTGGATCTACAATGATAACTAATAAAGACAAATGTTACTGTTTCACGTTGGAAAAAAATCAAAAGACAAAAAATTTTTCAAGTTTTATTTTAAACAACAAAATGGAAGTGTCTTTATTAGAACTGCATGTGAACAATATAACTGATCTAGAATTGAAGCAATAATCGTAACTTTGAATTTTTAAATT